ATACCACCTAATGAGATATGTATTTTGGATGTACTTGAATGATAATATCTTGGGTAATTTATATACATACCACAAAATTCTTATATATTTACATGTATAATTCCTAAATTTTCATATTTGCATTTAAAATACTAAAAACTAGGAGCGCAAAAGAGCCGAATTCGAGCAAGCCCAAGGCTGGTGCGTGTTCAACTCGTTCGAATTTTTATTATTCTTATTTGTCTCGTGTTTAAAATAACTCATGAATAGTCTATTCATGTTCGGCTAGATACGTTTAAATTTGAAATTGAGACTTAGATTGTGACTTAAATTACATTATTCAATTGAGACTTAAATTACAATACAAAGAAAATTTAAAGAGTTCTTTGCCACTAGGGCTGTCTAAAAAGCTTGTTGTTCTCGAACAGTTAGTGTTCGGTTCGTCAATGAGTTCGTGTTTGATTCCTTCGATAAGTAAATGAGACGAACGTGAAAATTTTTTTTTCGATTCGTGAAATTACTATTTAAACTTCAATATTACTAGAAAATCAGTGATAAATAGGTATGATATGAATAATTTAAAATAATTCTATATAAAAAAAAAATTATGATATTTAAAAAAAAAATTATAAAGTATAATATATAATAAATTAATAATAATAATATATTAATATACTAGATTAGCATTATACTAATATAGATATTATTTATTTATATAATATAAGTCATATAATTAATATAATATATTATTTACATATATTCGTGTTTGGCCCGTTCGTTAAGAAACGAACACACGAACAGTGACTTCAAAAACAATTTTGAACACGAGCTCATTCAAACAAACTAAATTTCAAACGAACTGAACACGAACATAAGTTCTATTTGCCACACTGTTCTTTAGAAATTTAATAACTGAAGTTTTCAAAATTAATTGAAACAAAAAAAATATTAATATTTTTTTAATTAATTTAATTCAAAATCATTTAAATCGAAATGAAGTCATGATAACATAAAGTTATGAACAATTGATTTCTCAAAGCTTGGTTAGTAAACAAGAAACTTAAAACTCCATCAAAAATCTGTTTCTACCATTTTGAACCTTGGAATTATAGGATTTAGGTTAGGATGAAAGAAGAATTGAGAAATTTACATATTTACCGCACAGTTCTTATGTATTTACATGTCTAACACCTAAAGTTGGATATTTACATTTATACCACTTTGGTGCTATAAACTTAGATATATTAGTAGATAAGAAGCGTGTGATTCGGTTCATTTTAATATTGATTTGAAGGTATTCAATTTCAACTCGAATCAGTCAATTCAAACTGAGTTTGACTTTATCTAAATATGACCCATTTACTTACTAGAGCTCAATAATTGAATTAAAAATGGAGGCATTTTAATACTTTGTTAACTTCTAATATATATATATATATATATTGGATAATTTATTTATCTAAATGACCCTAAAATTTTTTTTTCTTTTTGGTCCTCCTGTGCTTGCTTGTTAAAATACCCTCCGGAATTCACAGTTTTATCGAGCCGAACAAAAGTCTATTTTGAACGTATTTTAAAAGTGTTTTACAAACTATTTCAAACACGAGTTGAATGCGTGTAATAAAAAATTTAAACGAGCGGAACACGAATAAGCCTTGGGCTTGATCAATCCGGCTCTTTTGCACTCCTAGTTTTGAGCATTGTAAATATAACTATGAAAGTTTAGGCATTATGTATGTACATACATAAGAATCTTGTGGTATGGCATATAAATTCCAATAAATATCATCAGTCAAGTCCATCCAAAATCAATATCTCATTAGGTTCTAAAATTCAAATTTAATTATGTGGTTCAAATTTGATTTTGAATCTCTGTTATATATATACAATATTAATAAATAGCAAAAATCATTATTCAATTCAGACTTAAATTACGGGCCCGTTTGGGGCAGCTTATTTGGTGCGGTGGCGTTTTGAAAACGCACCTGACTTGTTTGGGTAAACTGCATTTTTGCAGTTTAAGCATTTTCCAAACGCAGAAAACAGCATTTTCACACCGCACTAACGATTAACTTTTCCAAAAAAATTAAAAATTTGTAATAGCTACCGCACCTAGCTTATCAGCAGATTATTTTTAATCAGCTTATCAACAGATTATTCAATAAGCTACAACTACCCTAAACAAACCCTACAATACATGTAAAATTTAAAGAGATCTTTGACTCACAAATCTATTAGAAATTTAATAATTACCTGAGAATTTTAGTGAATTTCATTTTTAAATCTTATGTTGTTCATGCGAAGATGGTCTATTATTTCACAATTAATTAAAAAAAAATTATTAATAAATTTTTAATTTATTTCATTCAAAAATCATTTAAATGGAATGGAATACTCCCTCAAAAATATATTTCCACCATTTTGAATCTTGGAACACTAGGATTTAATAATTGAGAAATTTACATACATACCACATAAATCTTATGTATTTACAAATCAAACACGTAAAGTTGGACATTCACATTTATAACATTTTGGTGTTATAAACATATATATGTATGAAAATGTGAATTTGAGTTTCTAAATAGTTAATAATAGTGATATTTTTTGTGATGATAAAGATTTGAAGGATATAAGTGTAAATATCTAAGTTTAGGTGTTAGATATAATAGATAAGAATTATGTGGTGTGATTTTAAGTTGATCAAGACTCCATTTAATATTGATTTGAGGGTATTCAATTTCAACTCAAGTTAGGTCAATTCAAACTGTGCTTTGACTCGATCTAAATATGACTCATTTACTTACTAGAGTTTAATAATTAGAATTAAAAAAATGTGGAATTTTAATATTTACTTATCCTCTAATATATTTATAATAAAAAAACAAAACAAAAAGTGTATATTTACATTAATATGGACATGCATCTACATTTTAATCCAATTTAGACTTTTAGGTTGCATTTGGGGCAACGGTGCGGCGACGCACCGTACTTTGGCGAATTGCATTTTGCCTAATTTTTCAAAAAATTAATGTAGGAAGCTGTGTTTTGCATTCTGACTTGGCTAAGTGCAATAATTACGAAAAAACTACGGTCAGACTTTTTGAAAACAAAATAAATTTATAACATTCATCGCAACTTTTTGAATATCAATTTCTTCTGCAGCAGCTTCACAATTGCTTCTTCAAATAGCAGCAACCACCCAAATAGACCCTTCATCAAGTTTGATCCAAACTAAATTTAGCAACTTCATTGAAGATACAACAACAATAACAACAAAGCCTTAATCCCACTACGTGGGGTCGGCTACATGAATCTTTTTTCTCCATTGCATTCTATTTAGTGTCATATTTTCATTTATTTCATTTAGTGTCATATTTTCATTTAGTTCAAGTAAATTAAGATCATTTTTTATACAATAAGCCCAAGTCTTCCTAAGTCTACCTCTACCTTTCTTAATACAAGTTGAATCTAAAACATCTACTCTTCTAATCGGATCATCAAATGGTCGACATTTAATGTGACCAAACCATCTAAG